CCCCAAAATAGAACAATGAAACCCTGTTCTCTGTCCACCTAACATGTATCTACAACCCTTCTTTCTTCCTCAAGGAGGTTTCGGGTGATGAGAAGACTCCCAGCTTCTGTCTCATAGAAAAACCAAGTATAGATGATTGAGAGCCATGGGAGATGAAGTATGCATGGGTATAGATCTCTAGATCTCCTTGAGACCCCCAATTTCATTCACGATGTCCAAGTTCACACAAAAAGTGTTGAAATGATAGGGAGAACATGAATCAAGGACACATTTTCTAAAATTTAATTTTAGTAGTGATAGGAATAAAATTCAGGGATTTGTCAAATGCCACCAAAACGCTATGCCACTTAAATTATCCAAGGTAGGGATGTGGGAAAGTTTAAGGTAAGATTATACCCTCATTATTTGTATCAGGATAGCCTTGAACTCACAGAAGTCTAGGAACATCTCTGTCCTGAGTACTGGGATTAAAGTGTGCTCCACCACACCTGGATTCTGGGATGGAAAAATGACCATTTTTTCATTTGATATCATGCATTTAAGTCTCTAAGAGCTCATATCATTTGTAGAGCAAGCACAACTCAATGTTTTGGCCAGTCTATATAACAAGTATTATTTAGTAATATGAATGAATATAAGTGCTATGTATGTCCCCAGTACCACATAAAATAGGGCATGTGGGTGAATAATCCCATCACAACCAGCTGCAACTCTGCAAGTACAGGCCTGGAATGAACTAGGCAGGGAGCTTGTTCTGAGACTTGTTACTCGTACCTGTGGGGATAACTCAGAGCACCAAGTCCCGGCCCTTCCTCTCTTGATTTTGTCTGAGCTCATTCACTGATCATTGGGATGTATATTGTCAGCAATCATAAAAGTTTATGTGTGAAACTTAGATTTTTAAAACAAATGAAGTACAAGTATAATGCTGCCATTAGATTTGCTACTCCTTGTATAATTCTTCTTGGCTGAATAAAAAGGCACGCGGGCAGGGAGGGAGGGAGAGAAGGAGGGAGGGGTGGAAGAAGGATGGAAGGAAGGTAGGAAGAAAGGAATGAAGTGTGTGTGGAGAGGAAGTAGAGATGAAGAAAGACAGAGAGAAATGAAGGAAGAAGAAAGGAAGAAAGAACGAAAGAAAGAAAGAAAGAAAGAAAGAAGGAAGGAAAGCAAAGAAATAGTCTATTGGCACAAGTTAAAGCTTATTCTCTTCCACACTTTTACAGTTTTTCAAGCTCATGGAAAGGATTGCCTTAGATTGAAAACACATAACTGGTTTCCAGGAGTTTAGTTCAATGTTGAGCTGTGGGTGTCTGCCTCTGATTCCATCAGTAACTGGATGAAGGCTGTGAGACTTTGGATGACACCTCCAGGAAGCCTGCTGTTTCTGTCTGCCCAGAACATTAGAATGCTGCTCACCTTGGCTTCCTGCCTGTACTAGTATTGTTGTCTTCCTTCTTCGGTCTTCAATGAGTTTGAAGAGTAGGCTGTCCCAATTACTGTTCTGTCTACCTAGATAGAAATATTAGGTACAAGACTTAAACTTTCCCGCTTAGAACTGCTCTACAGTAATCTGTGTTATGCCTTTCCCCTAGGACTGGATATGTGGTTCTTGACATTTGCTCTTGTTGTTTTACTTGTTTTAGATCTTGAGGGTTAATGTCCATAATTTTCCTTCTCCTAGCACACACTTGAATTGTGCCATGATTACATATTTTTGATTTGAAAGTCAATCTTTTCTATAGACTGAAATCAGAATTGAATACTAGTAGGGATACTAGTAGGTACCTGCTAGATGACCACACCCATGTGGGCGTGGCCACAGGTACTTAGGGCCGTGTGGGATGTAGGCCTGTGGAGAGAGCAGCAAGCTCTCTGGTTTCCAGGTGGTTCTTGGCAAACAGCTGAGACTGGAAGTGCTTAGAGCTGACCCTGGCTAATCGGTTTTTCATGTAAGTGAATTCTCTCCCCCCCAATAACCTATGATATACCTATGCCATGAACCTCATCCTATAATGGAACAATCTTTTGTAGAGCATGAGTAACTAATACATAAATACATGTATGTTATCCTTTGCACAAACAGCTGTGAAAGCATTAATGCCAATGTCTCCTGGAATTTTAGATGCCATTTTATGTATGATTCATGGTGTATCATAAAAATCTCTTCAAATTACATCCTTTGAAAAGTGATCTCCTCTAGGTACCAAGTAATCAATAAAGCCAGTGAACATTCATGAAGAGCAAATGAGAAGCAACTTACCTACTGGAAAATAATTTCTGTAGACTCTTTACTAAGAAGTCATTTTAAAAGATTCCTTCTCACCATCAGATCTATAATATCCAAAAAGAGTGAGAATTTTGCCATGAATAAATTTATCAAATATAATTATCTCGTCCAAATAATTTCAGTATGAGATATCAGTGAGTTCCTCATCTGGAAAGTACTATATATATTCTAGTCAAATACAGGGATCTCTACTTTTGGAATAAGTAGGTGCTGCAGGGTTTTTGTTGTAAGCTAGGAGAGAATGCTTGGTAGGAAAACCTGATTTCAGCTGAGTTATGGGGAAAACTGGTTATCAGGGAGGCCATGTTATTTCCACATGACATCACCGGTCCCTTCCCTGAACAATCCAATGTATCCTGGAGACTATGGAATCCTGTGATGTCACCTGTGTTGTAGCAACACCAACTGCCTTTGGAGAGCCCTTCAGTGCCCTTGAGGATGAACGTGTTGGAGAGCCTGGGGAATCTCCTTAGGAGACAGTATGGAGAGGGCAAAGATGCAAGGGAGAGGCAGAAGAAGGCTGACCTTCCACATCACTTTAAAGGATCAAGAAAGAAATGGTTCAAAAGGAAGAACAGTAAGTCCTAAGTAGAAAGTGGGGCCTCCCTGTAGAAGGTGGCTTTTAGAGGGGACTTTTGTAATGGGACACAGGAACTGGGGTTTCTGGAAAAGAGTGGCCATCAGTGCCTGACATGGCTCCTAGAAGGCAAGGATTCCTGGGTAGTAATTTGTCTCTGCCAGTAGCCAGGACATAGTAATAAAAAGGCATTTGGCTTGTACCACATAGATTTCAATGTTGAAGAAGTGTGAGATGGTTGAAGAATCAGGATCAAATGAGACCAGCATGAGGCAGGGACTGGTGTTGTGTGCTCAGCTAATGGCAGGTCATGACTGTACTTCAAAGCCAGTGGATATCTTTAAGTAATGTGCACCCTCTCTGTGTCCCCTGAGTCGTCAGTGAGTTGGCTTGGTGAGTCATGTGACCATGTTCTGTGCCTGTATGGCTTCTCCATCTATAGTCATTTTGTTTGAATGACATGTCAAGATATTTGAAGTTCTCAAAAAGACCTCAGTGCCTGTGGACAATGCTAATTGCCTCCTGGTTTCTAACCCACAAACTTATGCATTCTACCAGCAGGTTGAATTGAGAGCCTGTAGTTGTGAATGAGCCTTAGAAATTACTCTCTTAGTTAACTTGAATTATGTGCTGAGGCAGCCGAGAAAATCAGATGATTGACAATCCCAACTGCCTTCAGAAATGGGAGAGATGTGATGCCCTGGAGGAGCATTTCAAGCCTGAGTAAAAATCCATTTGTGTGTGGCTGAGTCACAGGTATAAAGTGGTCTGTATATCCTCCACGGCTTGGCATAATATGACTTGATTTGTGTTCCTCTACCCACAGGGGCTGCTGTAGAACCATCAACTACCTCCTCCCTAGTCACTAAGAAAGAGATGAATGAGAAGATGGAGGGTATGAGTAAACAGCTGGATCAATTGGCCATGGAAACCAAGGAGCTTAGGGATTGCATCATCTCCATCACTGAAGGATGCCCTGATGACAGGTATTCATCGTTTACAAAGCCACGTTGACCATCGTGGTTCCACAATTTCACTTTTTGTTTATTTTCTCTAAGTTCTGTGGCTCTAAGAGTGTACACTTTCATGATATTCTTTGGCCCAAAAGCATGTTTCTAATTGCTTCCCATAAGGAGAATCTGAAACCTGGGCAGAAGTCAGATGGGGACACAATATTATTATGTGTCCTCTGAAAGAAAACCAGAGCCTATGGCCTGAGACACATAACTCAGAGACTGGAAAAATGGTATGAGTTGCCAGCATGCATTTGGACAGATCCTTTCAAGTGGCAGCTTCTATGAGATGTTAGCTGCTATTAGTTTGTTGTGACTCTTTACATGCCAGGGAAGATGTTACGTGATGAGCACAACATGGAGCAGCTGGAAAGCCCAGTCACACATCTCATTATATGGTTACAAGCCCTGAGAAAGATCCAAGCACATTTTGGTCTGCTCTGAGATACCACACCTGCAATCATTTCCTTAACATCTCTGGGTAACAGTCTCTCTACCCTCTTTTCCCTCTGTCTGTATCTGTCACAAACACACACACAAATAAACACATATGCAGTTTGGGTGTTTGTGCATTTCTTCAAGGTTACATCCCTAGACCTTGCCCATAAGGTTACAGTTTTTGGTCATTGGGATCCACACATTAAGCATTACAGTTCTGCCAATATGCTCACCTTAGTGATATGTAGATATTCCCTTGGTTAATTTATAAATCTATGTTGAGTTTCTGTAAGAAAAACATTTAGTCCTATCCACAAAAATGCTAATGGTATGATTTCGGCCTCTATATTTACAGACACCAAGCCTAAAAATTTCTATTGTATGCAGAAGGGAAACAATATAACCTGTTTTGGTGCGCCCAGACCATGAAGTAGAAACTAGGGAGAGTGTTAGCCAGCTATTTCAGTGTTAGTGAAAGAACTCAGGCAGCCCCACCTCTCTTCATGTTAACATCCTGTCTCTGCTGCCCTACGATTATGACAGCAAGTTTAATAATCACCAGATATTCCAAGGACTTAGGAGACTGAATGTGGCATTCCATGGGTTCCAGTAGCCTTGAACACAGCCAGAATTCATGTGACCTATGAAATGTTTGTTCATGGAACTTTTTGTTTCAAGGTCCATGCACTATCATCGGCCAAAACCTTTCTATGAAAATCTCCAGATGGAGCATAAGCAGGTGATGGATGACCTACAGAGATTGCAAAATGAGAACAAGGAAGCCTTGGAAAGATTCCATGAGATCACCGAGGAATCATTCTTCTATTGGTAAGTGCCTCTTTTGCAGAGGAACATAGCATTGTGAAATGTCCATCTCTGCCTATTTTTTCTCTATACTGCAGAGCCCACAGATAGGTTCAAGCTATTATGGCTTTTAGGAAGAATCATTAGCAAGCAGTTCTTGGTCTTGTTTTCATGGCACTCAGTTTTCCTAATTGTGAGATGGACAATTAGCTCCTCCCAGCCCCAGACTATCAACCTTATATAGACTACAGTTTAAACTATCACCAAGTTAATACAATTTGTCATTTTTAGGTGATATTCAACCATGAAATAGATTTTCCTGCTACTTCATAACTGCAATTTTGCTATTGTTATGAATCACAATGTAAGAATCTATTATTCAGATAATCTGAGAGGTCAACCATGTAAGAGTAATGCCATCACCAAAGGAGTCATGACCCATAGTTTGAGGATGACGACTCTAAGTAGAGGAATATTTTGCAGCATGAGATTGGTGTCAGGAAGTTTCTCAGGCATAGGCATCTTGCCCACATTGAACATCTACACCCCTTGGGTGTCCTGTCATCCCTCTGAGTGGCTTTGTCCCCTGCCTCATGATGTGGCCCCATTACTATGGTCAGTTAAGGGCATTGAAGGACATACTCACAGAAGTAGAGAATCTTAGGTTTCTTTTCTTGTTGGCATATTCAGAAATAGTTCGGTTCCCACGGGAATTTCTAGTTCTCTACTTTTGGCCTTCTGAGAGCAGCTGTCATGGCTGCATTGACCACTTGTCTCTGTCACCTTTGGTAACCAGAGGTCCCGTTGAATTGATGGGTTATGGATGCAGGGGTGGTTGGAAGAGAGTCAAGGTCTTACTATCCAGAGAGTGTTTCTAGCAATCTGCAGCAACAACTCCAGATGGAGAAGTCTCAGGTGCAGTACGTGGTGGAGAAGCTGAGGCAAGAGACCAAGAAGGTGCTAGGGGAATGGATCCTGCTCCAGTATTACTTGGATGAACTGAAAGTCATCTGTGAGAAAGAAGAGCGAGTCATCCGTGACCTCCAGACCCAGGAGCATCAGGTAGAGAAAAGCAGCTGGGTCAGGGTCAGGTCCATCATTATTTACACATGGACTATAAGGGTGTCTGTCCATCGACAAAATTGTGGATTTACTTATAATTTATACACATATAAACGCACACAACACACACACACATACAAACACACACACTTTTCATCCTCTGCTTTCATGACATCCAACTGTTCATTTCATTGTCCATGCATCAGTAGTACTACGAAGGCAGTCTGTTGTGAGTAACAATTGCCACATAAACCCTGCTGCTGTACTAGAGGCTGCAGTTCAAGCAGGGTGATGGGTAAATAAAGCTTCACAGTCCCACATCACATTGTAATGGGAGTGGTGCTCCATACACACTTGAGGGAGTTAGTTCCAATTTCTGTGGCTCATTTGATTTCCAATTTTCTATGATATCACATTGGGGGCAGGAGAAGCAGATTGCCACGAAAGGAGCCAGCTACTAATGTCAAACAAGTGATTCTCTTTGTTAGCCCATTAGATGACATGTGGCCTTTCTTCCTCATATTCTCTGGAATCCAAGGTATTCTCTTACCATGCACAAAACTTGGTTCAAACTGACAGAGCCTCCAGTGGGAGTCTGTCATTAGTGTATACTGTGTGTTTCTTTGGCAAATTCTCCCATCCTGGAGATTATAGTATGGAGATGACAGGCTTAGAGTTTAGTGGTTTGAAATCTTCAAAAAGAGGGGCTGTTATTGTATCTGCTTGCCCTCTTTTCACCTCTGACTCTCTGTCTGTCTGTCTGTCTGTCTGTCTCTCTCCCTTGTCTGAGTCTCTATTTCTCTCTCTCTCTCTCTCTACCTCTCTTCCTTGCTCTGTCTCTCTCTGTTTATTGATATATCCATGCCTGGGTTTGTGTGCACAGCTGCATATATGCAATCACCTAGAGAGGACATCGGAGGAAATTGAGGGGGTTATTATCCAATGCATGTGGAAGTTGCTTGGAGGAGACCACTTGGTTTGCCAGTCTCTATCCGGAAACAGGATTCCACCTTCACAGTAGCTTCCTCGAGATCCTCTGTGTGTGCTTGCACTTGTCTTAGAGTGAATTCATACCTATGCTCAAATCTCTACTAAGATCACAATATTCTAATGAACAGGAGCAGCAGAGACTGGAGGGAAATCTACAGTCCCAGCAAAAAGAGGAGCTAATTATTGAGAAAAAGACCTTAGCAGGAAAGCTGCAGAATTACCTGACTGTCTCCCAGATGAGGTATGAGCCAGGAGTTGAAATTGGGAGCCAGGTTCAAGTCAGTATCTTCTACCTTTCATGTTATATTGTGTACCAGACTCCTCTAAAAAACGAAGATGTCGATTCCCAGGGTTAATTTTTAGTAAGAGAAGACTGATTTTCTTTACTTAAATACTTCTAATTTCCCCATATTCTCAGGCACACTTCTTTTGAAATTTTGATCCAAGTATCACAGACTCCATCTTGTATATTGCCTGGGTGTAAGGTTCCTTCTGGACATGCGGCATGAGAGTGCCCATGGCCTTACCAGTTTTCTAAGCTGAAATGTCATGTTATGTCTGCCTATAAAATGATGTGGTCTGTGATTAACTCACCATGATTGTTCTGTGTTTCTCCAATATGCTGTTATTTGTGGATTTAATATAGTGTGTTGGAGAATGTTCTGTTCTTTCTTTATATAGCACATACATACAGTACTCAGATCAGCTTGCCACATGGGTAGAAGCCTGACAAATTCAAGGACAAGCTTCTCTGTGACCTTTATTCGTTAGGGGTATCAACAACGACTACTGTCATGTGATCAATGCTGAAGTTTTCAGCGTAGTTGAGTATTTGTGAAGTCACATTTGACAGCTGACAATGCAGGACCCCACTAGGACTGATCTCTGACTGGTCCTTCCTCTTCCAGAACAGAAAAACTGCAACATGAGATAGAGCAGGCTTCAGGACATGATGAGAGCACCCTGAAGACAGAACTGCAGCTCCACGAGCACTAAGAGACACAGGCAAGTGAGCCACCATTGCATTGTATTTTCACAAACAATGGCATTCCTTTGGAGGCTTTTCTTACTCAAATCTGTTTGTATGTGTGCATATACCCTGGTTTTGTCTAATTGGTAACAGAACAATGCTGATTTTGGAACTGACTGCCTTTCTTTATCTCCCAGCACACTTTCAGAGAATTAAGGAGGTCTAAGGAAGCCACAGAAAAGCAAAAATCACAACATCCTCCAGAATAGAATCAAGACCTCACTATAAGAACTGTCAATCTAGCTGTAACCTCACCTGTGATGTGAATATCATCCTAAGTTATTTGGTATGTCCAATGTCTGATTCATGTGTTTCTTGTCTCACAATTTCAGGAGTAACAAAATCATCACAAAGAAGTTTGAGAACCAAAATACCTTCCAAGAAATACTCAGAGCCCAGACATCTACCAGCAAGTGGAGCTCATCAACATGGAGGGAGGACATGTCTCTGCTCAAAATTCTCATCCTGTCCAGTGCTGAAGCTACTGCTTTTCCCTGTTTGTTCGTGGTTTCCAGTTGTTGTTCCAGTTTCAAGTTTTATGATTCTTTGGTTCTGAGTTTTGTTCTTGTTTTGTATTTGATATTTTGTTAAGATTATATGCTTTATGTACTGCATGCCCTGTTGAAGCCCTTTGATATTGATATTTGGCTAAAGCTATATATTTTATATATAAAATACCCTGTTAATTCCCTACTGAGTGCAGTGACTATTTCTTTTTTCTCTAGAGATTTATTTAAATTAGAAACAATGTAGTTTTAATATGATTCCCCATTATCTCTGCCTCCCAGCCTATCATGCCCTGCTAACCCAGCCCCCCATCCACCTTCTGCACTCCAGAGGTTTAGGCCTTCCATGTGGGATCATCAATGTTTGATACATCATTTGAGGCTGTGTCTAGGGCTTCTCCCGTGGAAATGACTATATTTAAAAAAAATAAAAAGTTTAAACTCTTCATTGTGTGTGTGAAGTTTATGATTCAATTTCATTTTTCCTTGATTTAATGGGCAATTACGCAACTGGAATACAAAAGCAATTGTGTACTTTAAGATGGGCAGGTAACCTAGAAATTCAGGAGGGAAAAATTGTAACCCCTTTTATGGCTTGAAAATCTCAAGCCAACTGAAACCTTGTACTTAAGGGTACTTTAGGACCGGGGAGGATGGGTAATCCAAGCCAATGATTTCAGTTAAATCTTTCTTAATACAGCCACCTAGATCACAAGATGGGCATAACCCTAACCCTAACCCTAACCCTATGGCAGTTACATCTTGAATCCTGTGTTTCTCCTACCCAGAATCCTGCCTGCTTGACTCCTAGTCCCACCTATCTTGGTTCCCTATTGGCCAAAAGTGCTTTATTGACACCTAGTGACTTCCAAAGGGGTACATCATTGTGTCTAGAGTCCCAAATGTTGCTGGCATACCTAAGACATGAAGGAGCTCTAACTCTGCTTAAACTACCTAGACTTCTTGCTCAATCCGTGGCATTAGTGATACATTATCCTCATCCTCTGGGGCCAGAACTCTTGTGTGATGTACATCGGGAGTCCAAGTCAGTCATGGGGGCCACAGACAGTGTAGGAGCTATCCTCGGTGCATCTTACATCCCCAGACACCAGTGAGGCACACAGATGCACTGAGGGTATGGGAAGTTGGGCTTAGAAATGGTAGAAAAGCATGAATTATGCTTGGGAATGTCATGGGGACTTGATGGGTAGTGGAGGAGCCTGGTCCCCATCCTGCTCTTCTACTGGCCCACCCTCAGGTTTTGACCTGTGCTGTTATGCAGGGCCTCTGAGGTACTAGTAGATGCAGTGACCTGGGACCTGGTCTTTGGGTTGCAAGCTGTGTTACTGGTTTAAGTAAGTCATACACAAAGTTGGGAACAGCCAACCAGATGATGTACTCATCGACAACGTAGGTGCTACATACTGCCTGGGGACATAAAGTGGCAAAAATCTGGAGCAGAGA